TCTCCCTCTCTCTCTCTCTCTCTCTGACAAATAAATAAATAAATAAATAAATAAATAAATAAATAAAATCTTAAAAAAAAAACAAAACTGTTTTTTAAGAAAAATGAAATGGCAACAGGTCCTGCCTCTTAGCAACACCTGGCCAGCCCTCTCTAGATTACCGTAGGTGCAAACTTGTGTGGATCCCTCTGTAATTCATGAGTCCAGGAGATCTGTGTCTGACTCAAGCACACCCAGGTATTGGTGTCTGAGGAAAGCAAACATATATTCTTTGGAAAAGTTTGCAGCATATATTTTGTTGCTCTGTTGTGGGATGCTCTCTAGAGGTGGTGCTAGGGGAAAACGATTGTGCCAATTATGAGATGTCAGACATTAGAAAAATATACTCAGAGATGCCATAACTAGATTGTAGCAGCTATTACTGTAAAGAGCAAATGCTCCTGACTTGGAGCTACCAAAGGAAGTAGCCCCTGAAAGTTACTAAGAACTATCAGAAAGCCCTCTAGTTGGGACTCATGTCCGCTGCTGAGAGCGAACAATAATTAGAACCATTATCACTGAGAGCCAGCACTAGAAAACCACAGATAAGGTAGTAGACTTCCCAGCCCTCTTCCCGTCATCTTCCCTAAATAGGAGATGCAAATCCTTTTATCTGCTGGGCATTCGAGGGAAAGATAACAAATGTTGGCCTTTCAATATATTCCAGATTGAATGTTTCCAGACAATAAATATGGAACTGTTAGAGATTCAAAAACTTCCAGTATGGGTTTTACTGAATATAAAGACCTTGGATTGTAGCTCAACCTTCAGACTTTCAATAATTATGATAACATTTATTGTTGCTACACTGAATGCCATCTACTGTTCTAAGTATTTTTGTATGTATTTACTCAATGTAATAACTATGAGGTATGTGCCTTTACTATACCCATTTTACTGATGAGGGAAAGTTAAGTACACAAAAGTTAATTAACTTGCCCAGTTTTTAAGTGAGGAACACAGACTAATTCCAGAGCTATGCTCTTTCTTCTTATACACCCAGAAAAAAAAGGTCCCCTCCCCAAAGATAGCCTCATCCTAATGCCTAGAACCTGTGAATATGTTACATTACATGGCAAAAGGGACTTTGCAGGTGATTTTAAATTATGGACCTTGAGATGAGGAGATTATCCTGGATCCAGGTGGGCCAAATCTAATCACATAGATCCTTAGAGATAGAGAATCTTTCTTGGCTCTGGTCAGAAGGAAATGTGAATATAGAAGAATGGTCAGAGAGATATACAGTTGCTGGCTTGAAGTTGAAAAAGGGGGACTATGTGCCAAGGAATGTGGACATTTACTAGAAGCTGGGAAAAGCAAGGAAACAGATTTTCCCCTAGAGATTCCAGAAAATAATGCAACCCTGCCAGCACCTTTGTTTCAGCCTAGCAGAACTGGTTGTGGACTTCTAACTACAGAACTATAAGATAATAAATTTGTGATGTTTTAAGCAACTAAATTTGTGATAACTTGACAGCAGCAGAAAAGTACTAATAAATGCTACCTTGTTGAAAAAGAGTTACTGAGGCATTTTCCTTCCTTGGGCAAAATGGTTTTGCTATAAGCTTAGGTTTATGTGTTGTTTCTCTTGTTTTGAACGTATTATGTAGTTATTTGTCCCACATTTAACACTCAACCAAATGTTACAGAAATTGAGCATACTTTAAGTCTTGCAGCAGAGCTATACAACTGACCAGATGCCATAATATGGATCTTTGATAACATACATGATGGCTTTTTACCAAACAGTGGGAAGTTACTGTTCTAACATTCAGAATACAAATAATCTGATTCCTCACCGAATTCTGTCATTAGGGCCAAAGTATTTTTTGCAGTCTCAGAATAAAATGAATTTATTAAAAGGGAGACTGACACATTACTACAACGAGCTTTTCCAAAACTGTACCAAAGTCATCAATATTCACCATAACAGATACCACAAAATGGGTTGAGTTATTTTTCTCATATGGCTGTATTTATATACACAAATACAGTGAAAAATCAGGCACTGGCCTTTGTGGGCAGTCTTTTGGGAAACATTCCACCTCCACAAATTAGAATGCCACAGACCCTTCTCAAATATAACACTCATTGCTATCTGCTTTGACTAAAGTGGCAGTTTGCTGCCTGATAAGATATATCTGTATATCTGTATAAATATAGAAAAAAAAAACTATACCAAGGGGCAGTAGCAGTTTCTTAGTTGCTGACATGTATTGATTGAAAAGAAATATTATAGCTTTAGAAAGCAGCAATAAATGCTTTGGAAGACTCAGGCCATCCTAAGAATAGCTTCAAATCAAGTCTTCAGGGGGCGCCTGGGTGACTCAGTTGGTTAAACACCCAACTCTTGATTTTGGCTCAGGTCATGACCTCAGAGTCATGGGATCCAGCCCCGCATCAGGCTCCACGCTCGGCAGGAAGTCTGCTTGAGACTCTCTCTCTCCCTCTCCCCAACCCCATGCTTGCTCCCTCTCTCTGTCTCTCTAGAATAAATAAACCTTTAAAAACAACAACAAGAAAACAAGTCTTCAGAACAGAGATTGAATCCCACAGAGCTTTGTGATGGATGAAATTAAACCTGCCACATACATTACACTCATATTCTTTCAGCAGTCAGGTTGTGGAGCATTACCTGTTCCTCCAAGCATTGTAGACACGATCGTAATTTAGCTCCTATGGTCTGGATTCATCCAAACATTATTAAAATGGTTCTCGCAGAATAAGCTGGAGAAAAGCAATCAATATTAACTAGGTAGCCCAGATGTTGACTGCTGGGATAAATAGTCAGAACAACTTCATCTCTACCACCCAGAGATGTATTGGCTTATTTTGAGCAACAGTGGCATTCTGTCTGTTGTACGGAGACCCAATAGCAGAGGGGGACTGCCAGGAGGACCAAGCACATACAGTCTCCTGGACAGATGGAATGAGTGTTATGTGCCCGGTGTGTAAAGGGCCATAGGGATTATTTTTGTTTTCATAACCAGTGTCATTCCCTGGTCTGGTGGATTCACCATCATTCCTTATGTTACTGTCCTTTCCAAATAACCTGTTTTCTTATTCCTTTTGAATTGACCATTTGTACAACTGACAAAATTAACAAGCTGAACATGATCTGAATAGTGACACTGTTAATCTAAAATTTTTTTAGTTTTTATTATTTTCTTAAGGCTAAAAGCAGTACATAATCGTTGTAGAAAAATTAGAAAAGACAGAAAGCAAAAAGAAAAAAAACATATGTATATATATGTATGTATATATGTGTATGTATGTATACATACATATATGCATATATATGTATGTATGTGTATGTATGTATACATACATATATGCATGTATATTATATATACATATGTTTTTTTCCTTTCTGCTTTCATATACATACATATACATATGTATATATACAATGAAGTCTCATTACCCAGTACAACCACTGCTAATATTTAGGAATATACCCTTTACACAAATATGTATATAAACATGTTTCAGCAAAAATAGTATGATAATATAGTAATAGCATCATAGAGTATAATGTTTTATAACTTCCTTGTTTCACTAAGGACTAATATACTTTTGTAGCTGCCACCTAGAACTTCATTTTTAATGATCACATATTATATTATTGTGTGACTTTACTGTAATTTATTTAATTAGTTCTCTGCTATTAGACTTTTAAGTGTGGTTTGTAACTTTTATTATTACAAATAATACTACGATGAACATATTAGTAAATGAATGTTGCAACTTGTCTAGTTATGCCCTTAAGCTAATTTCTAGAAGTTGAATTGCTGGTTAAAAGTTACACAGTTTTCTAAGGATTTTAATGGCTGTCTATAGTTTCATCTTTAAATGGGAAGGAAAACAGATTAAAATCAGAAAGATAAAAATCATTCAATGTCTTTAAATTAATAACTTTCATAAAGATCTGAAATGCTAAATGAAAACACACATAAAAGTATTTCAACTAGGGCCTTCTTGTTAAACCATTCAAATACACGTGCATAAGTTTAATGGGTTTAAGTGAGAGTTATTAAGTTTACAAATCAACAAATAAGATGATTCCGTAAATAACCGGCAATGACATTACAATATTATCTTCTATTCTATTAATACTTATTTAGGAACGAAAAAAATAATGTCAACTGTATTAAGATATCATCTTTATTATTTAATACATACTGTTATGTAGATTATTTATATTTTTAATATTTCATAACTGTTGGTTTCTTGACTTTTCTTCTACTATATTATGAGCTCACTGAAGCCAAAAATTATATTCTGTGTATCTCTGTAACACTAGTAATCAAGCCCTAGCATATGGTAGGCATTCAATAAATGTTTGCTTTATATACATGGGCAACAAAATTAATTTGACTTTTTTATTAACTAAATTAATCAGTTTCAGGATTCTGTAACTACATTGGCAGAAACATTATGTCTAAATTGCATATTGGAATTTTCTTATGTTTAATTTGTTCATATATATTTTATATTAAAATTACCAGTAATATACAAAGTAATACTGATTAAAATAAACTAGCATCTGTATGTAATCCTGATAAGGTTTTTAAAGTGTACACTGAACTTACAACCTGTCAAATAGAAGACATTTTCAATGAAGAATAACTTAGGATGATTTCAGAATTATATAAAAGATGGTATAATACCGTGTTTCAAATTAAAGAAAGAAATTAAGACTATGCCATGAGATTACTTTATAAATCATAAGTGCACTTTAAAAACAAGATCAGCTTTTGTTATGCAAATAAAGATGTTACTGTTCTTAAACTTGACTTGAAGAGTGGTGCGCTGCTTAAAATACTGTAAAAATCTTTGAAGCTTCTATGTGGAAACTGTTTTTAGTCTGTTTTCATTGTTTTTTATGTGAATGAAAAATTTTTTAACTAGGCCTAGTTCTCGATGATACAATCCTAACCTCTGTTACTTCTGACTTATAGGGTATCTTTGTTACTAGGGTTCAGCCTGATGGACCAGCATCCAACCTGCTGCAGCCTGGCGATAAGATCCTTCAGGTAAGAGAGACAAGAAGCACTGTTTTCAAATGCCACACTAAAACAAATATGTACTCACTTATGGAGTAACTTGAATTAAATGATTGGAAGTAAGTCCTTTTCACATTTCTTATTTGCCTTTATTTTGGAGGGTTGAGAAGCAAATCAGAAGCAAAGTCAATCTGATATAATCCTGTATATTCCAGTATTTGGCACATGGTAGAAAGTTCTGAGTATTTTTGATTATATAAATACTGGGGGTTTTGGTGATACAAGAAGAACTGAAACACACAAGATCTATGCAGAGCTATCAAGTATAAGTAAGAGTATTGGAGTACTAAACCAGGGTATCTGTGTGATTTTGGATGAGGAAGGGACTCCTCCGTATTTAATTTCTCAACAATAAGCTTATTACAGTTTGAATACTGTGAAATGCATGATTGTATGCCCCTACTCCCCCTTCTCAGATACTTGAACAGATGTTTACCAAATATAAGGTGACTTACTAAAATGTACTGTCTGATGGAAAGGACTTTCTCTCTAACTTAAAGCTCTATGTAACAGAAAAGGGTCACTCCAGAAAACAGTTAAGAAAATTCTTGGTGTACCCATTTTGCTATCTTTATTCTCTTTGAATTCACTTCTGCTTAGTCATTTCCTATATTCCAGAGAAAAGCCCTTAAGTAACATCAGTTTATTTAAGATTCAGTATTTTGACTTATTACCCTGAAATTATCCACTATATAATTAGGTGGAACTATCTGACATTTTAGATATTGAACCACTGAAACAATTATGAAATGGTTCCACATAATATATTGAAGATATAGGAACATTGAGAAGATAGGACATGTGGGAAAGGAACATTCTTGTTAGACTACAAACAGTTATAGCAATGCAAGGACCCCACACAAGTCAGCTCTACGGAGATATTCTATCTTTTATTTACTGAACACTTTCAAAAAGTCCTAGAGAAGTAGAAATCCTATATAATCGTATATACTTATATTTTTATATATTATATATATAGCCTTAATATTTTATTCTCAGAAATATTTTAAATGAACTAGCAATATCATGAAAACTCAAGTTTTCAAAAATAATAATTCTCTGAAGACCACAGCTTGCTTGAACCTGTGACAATGTCACAGTAGAAATAGCATCCAGCAGATTTGAGTCCATTCCATGCAGGCAGAAGACCAAGCCAGCAGTTGATCTTCAGAGTTAAAAATCTTGAAACATAAAAGACACATAAAATATTCTGAATTTATTTTTACCATTTGGTTATGGAAATTCTATATTTTTTATTTCCTAACTAGCTCTCTGATCTTAAGCATTTTATATCATGTCTATAGGACTCACAATTATTATGTGTAAATGAACTGTGGTTTATATTATATTATATTATATTATATTATATTATATTATATTATATTACATTATATTAACTGACGTCCCCTCAGCTTAAAAATTCAACTGTTCAATAATTCTATAAATTTCCATGAAAAACGGTCAAGAATAAATTCACAATGTAGTTCCCTAACACTTGGTAAATGCTGTTGTTTAGCAAAGGAAGTGGATAGTCTTTTCCTCTACTGAATTTCAAAGAAGTTACTTTGAATCTCTGAGTCTGAAAAAAAATGTAGCCATTTAATCTCAGATCTCTGATCTATTTGAATGCCATACCGGTTAGAGAGGCCTTCCATAGCTTGAGACAGTTTGGGAGTGGCCTTCATCCATGACAGAGTTGGCAAAAGAAAGTTTTTTCTCTCGGATTCAGAAAATATTTTATATATATATACATATATATATATATATATATATATGTATATATATACACACACATATGCACATACATACACATATGTGTATATATATGTGAATAATATGTGTATATATATATGAATGTTAAATGTATATGTTATATGTTAAAATGTTATATATCCATATATCTATAGACAAGTGATAGATGATAGATAGATAATCAGTATAGATGAATATAGATATCCTGGAGAAGGGAAATGAGAATTCAGTTAGTGTCTAGTTGCAGAGTTAGAATACTCTTTCCTGACTGTGCAATTCTAGAAGGATTTCATGGGGGAACATGAGGTTTGAGTATTTCTAGTCCCTAAGAGGTATACAGCAACGGCAAAGCACACCAAGAAATCAATTCCTAATGCAAGAAGTAGGAAGGAATTATAAACTCAATCTGTTAAAAACCACAGAACTGCAGGAGAGCTGCACCTGGGTTGGCTCTTCACTCCACAAATGACTAGAAAAGGTGTAGCACTTTATTTTTGCTCTAGAACTCATTTGTATCTAGTACAATAAAATCAAAGTCCATTTTCAGCAAAAGAAAAATGCACATAGACCATAATCAGACAAATTACTATATTTACAGTTTCACTCATACTAGTTAAAAAGCACAAGTGGCTAATTATACTTTCTGAAAGAGATGAGAATGGCTAATTCTAAACTGAAATCATTGTCAGCATCAGATGTTAAGAGGGCAAATTATATTTTTGTCTATAAAGCTATTGGCTCTTTGTTTAAAGAACACTGGAAAAAATGAGTTGCCTCTCATTTAGAAGATCCTTAAAATATGTGATCCCTGGAGCAAATTTGTTTACTAGCTTTGATGACAATGTAACAGCCTAGAAAATCAAGGTAAAAGGAACAAAGGAATAAACAACTACAACAATAACAAAAAAAAAAAACCCACAATGAATGAGCCTCCTAAGTGATGGCAGTTACCAGGTTTGATCTAACCCAGTAGCAAATAGCAAAAAAGATACACGTTTCCCAAATCTCCCCCAAGCCCCAAATTTATTATAGAAGAGCTTTCTCTTTCTTTGTCTATAACTCTTTTTACCCACTATCTCTTCTTATTCTGTTATGGGATCATGAACATGTTACTGGAATTACATAAAGAGGTGTGCATTAAAAGATAATCTTGTTTCTTTTTTAAGAGATAATGATGGAGAGGAAAAGTGAGTTGGGGAAAATCAGAAAGGGAGACAAACCATGAGAGACTGTGGCCTCTGAGAAACAAACTGAGGGTTTTGGAGGGGAGGGAGTAGGGGTTGGGTGAGCCTGGTGGTGGGTATTAAGGAAGGCAGGTATTGCATGGAGCACTAGGTGTGGTGCATAAACAATGGATCTTGGAACACTGAAAAATTACAAGTTCAAGAATAAATTGAATAATCTAACAGTAGAGCATCATTAAGAAAGAGAGACATAAAAATGGAAAGAAATATTATGTTCTCAAACAATCAAATAATCACATATACACTTTAAGGACTGTTATTTTTCACAAATCACTTTATAAATATAATTCAAACAGAAAGCTTAAATTAAAATTATGAGTTAGTTTAAAAAAAGATAATCTTAATTAAGACATATTCACATGACGTTTCCGTCCTTTTACTGTTCATTTTCCCAGAATAAATACACTATAATTAATGAATATATTCATATGACCTACTGTGTTTAGTGAGTCATGTTGCTTTAAGACCCTTTGGAGAAGGAGCTAGCCTTCAGGCTGGGAAAACTGATGCCTCCCAGCCCCACCCTCCTCCACAAAGTCAAAGCACACAGGGGTGAGAGAGAACAAATGTAAGCACATGCATCATAAAAAAAAAAAAAAATGTTATTAGATTGAACCATGTGAATTTGCCAATATTTGACCATTTTTGAAGTGGTAATTTTGTTGGTTTAACATTATAGTTTCTTTTTTCTAATGTTCTTTCCAGTTAAAGAATTCAATCTAATTTATTATGCATTTTAAATTCAAAATATATTAAAATACAGAAAATCTATTAATTATAGTTACTCTGTTGAAAAGATGAATAGACTGGAAAAAAGGAATTTATTGTACTTGATAGTTAACATGGTTCATAGTTATTGCCTAACGCTCATTTGTAAGTACATTACACATTATGTTACATATCATATTTATACATATAATATTCTATTATATCACTGGAGTCAAACCCTATCCTCTTCATTTACCTGCCCACCCCTTTCCCCGGACAGGAGACTAATTTGTCAGGAGAAACACAAGTAAATGATTTATAGATACATGTCAATAACATCCAGGTTTTACCAGTTATCAAAACAGAGTTTTCTTATATAAGGTATACTAATATCATACCTAATTGAAGATCATTTCAGAGTCTCTTCTACTGTACCATAATTTTAAGTGTGTTCCAAAATATATTCCTCATCGATGACTATATCTCTAAGATACCCAAATACAATAATCAAAAGAAGTAATTTGAACAAATCAGGTATTTCCCCTTTTTTTCTAGTCTTAAAAAAATCTGATTCTACAATTCAGACAAATCAAGAACCCACTCTGAATGAATACTTGTCTGAAATTTTAGTCAGCTGTTGGTAGGTTGTTGGCTCAGAGTGCCTTATCAAGAGAGTTTACTCTTGATGGAGCAGGAGTTACTCCACGGTTAACAGAGAGGAGAAAGAGGATGAGCAGAAGAAGGACTAACTGGGTTAGCCTGGCAGCAGTGTTCAGGAGCAGAGGGGAGAGACTTCTGTCAGAATGAGCTAGTGTGGAGTTCAAAGAGAGAATACTGGAGAGGGAGACCGCAGGCATAAAAAAAGAAAAGGTTTTGCCCTGAGGTGAAGAACTGAAACCTGCAGGGGGCTTGGAATGGGGATGCAGGTGGGGAGGAGGTACTAAGACACAGCTTTCAAGGCTGAGATGTGAGAAGAAAGTGTAGACTACCCTGTAGTCTAACTAAAACGTCCGCAGAGGCCTGAATCTACTATATACAGAGAAAGAGTACTGTGTCTGTATTTGGCCACCGGATCAAGCCTTCCTTGTCTGAATGGAAGTTCTATGCTTCTTCGAATGACCAGTAGGTGTGGTTAGCTGCTAACAGTATTATCTTACTTAGCTAAAGCTTATTTCTTCAACAATCTCAAAGCAAAGTGTTTCCGAGAAGCCATAATTAATGTCACAAAGTCCATGCACTAAATTTCATGACTTTTACTCATAAGAA